GGCGCGGAGATCCCCTCCCACCCGCACCCCGGGGCCCTCCAAACTCCGGCTTTCCTTTTCTCCCGGGGACCAGGGAGGGGGTGCCCTCAGCTCTCCTTCCCTGGGCAGGGGCGCGGGGACCTCCGCAGCGACCCCCGCACACACCCACTCCCGAAACCGAGCCCGAGGTTCGCCTTGGCCCCAGGGTCGGGGACGGGTAATGCTGAGCGCGAGTCCCTCTCCCCACGCTCGGACCGAGTGTCCCCGCGAGCCGGGGGACTCGGCGCGGCCCTCGGCAGGCTTCTCCCGCCCAGCTGCTGCCCTCTGCCGGCCGGGCTGCGCCGGGGATGCGGGCCTTGGTCCTCACGAGCTCTGAGTTGCATGTTTCACTCGCCCCTCTAATCTTCACGGATCCCTCCTTCCAGCTCTTACGCTCCTCACTCCAAAATACACAAAGATACACTTGTTTTGCTTTTTCGGTTCTTCACGCTAACAGCTATCATCCCGCTGGATATTGAGCCCCTCACTTAACTGCCCCTTTGGGGTTGAACTTCCACATTTACAACCCCTAGTTTGTTTCCGTAGCTCCAATAGGTCTTCTTATAGTTTGTGGGAGCCTAAAAGACACCATGTAAGTGTTCGTCGAGACCCCAGAGACGCCATACCAGAATGGACTTAGGGCTCTGAGCTAGATCTGGGGTCCAAATAAAAAATCCTCTATAGGTCACTTCCCCTCCTCACTCCTGTTGTAAGCCTAACGGGCCTCCTGATTCTTACCTTAAACGCCGTTTTCAGAGACCTTGGAACCCTATTTCTTTGGATGTTGTCAGCCAGAAAAGGTCTTGCCTTAAATACTTTAAGTACCTTAAACTGCCTAATGCTCAGTGCTTGGATGCTAAACAATAGAAACAGACAAACATACTTCCTTTTAGTATCAGGTCTATAGAAATAACTTTCAGCTTCTCAGAACTCGAAGTATATACCCAAGGTTACCTGAGTGAATTATTTTCATGGAGAAACTAGGGACCTTAGTTTAGGCAGTCCAGAGTTCTTGAGTCACACGGGATCTCTATACCCCAAAATTGCGCCTTAATAATATTATATGCTCATGATATACACTTTTATTAAAGCCTTAGAGGGTTAGAGATACAACTGAGGAATAAAGGAGTACAGCCTCAGAATTGGTTGGGGGGAGAGAGGGAGAAGGTAACAAGGGAAATAAATCGAGGATCCTGGTAGAACAATTCTGCAAACAGGTTCTGAGCGATTTACAATGCAAGGCAAGGTGCTGGAGGCCGGGTTACAAACAAAAGGGACAGCCCCTGCCATCAGTGAGCTTGAAACCTTTCTCCACAGAGATCACTGACTGTGAGAGGTTATGGGGAAAAGTTACAAAAGACCATCAACAACCCGACGGGGTGCCCCACCACTGAGACCAGGTCCCTGGTAACGCTAACCTTTGAGCTGGGCCATAAAGGAGAGGGAGGAAAGACAGTATAGGCAAAAAAGTCCACAAAAGCAAAAGCATAGAGATGTGAGAATACTTTTTAGGGGACATCAATGTGGCTGGAGGAGCAGCAGATGAGGCAGACAAGGCAGTTGATTGAAGGTTGTAGGGTCCTTAATTTTTGAGACGCTGATAAACAGTCAGAAGATTCTGAGGAGGCCAAGCCAATGTGGCTCAGGAGTTAAGTGTGGATTTATGAACTGGGAGGTCAGGGTTTCCCAGTCAGGGCACATGCCCAGGTTGCTGCGGGCTTGATCCTCAGTAAAGGGCGTGCAGGAGGCAGCAGATCAATGATTCTCTCTCATCATTGATGTTTCTCTCTCTCTCCTCCCTTCCTCTCTCTCAAATCAATAAAAACATATTTTTAAAAAATTCTGAGGAGGAGAAAAGGGAAATCTGTAAAAATTAAACTGGTAGATGAATATTATCAGGAAAAACTATCACAAACTAAAAAACCATTGATTTATATTTCTTCTCAAAGTGTAAGATAGAGTTGTCCGTCTGTGACTCACTTCTTGCTTGCTAACTCCTGTTCCAGCACCACGGCTGAAAAATCTCTCCCAAAGAAGAATCTGTGACAAAATTATTAGCGTTTATTACAGTGAGGTAGAGCAAATAAAGATTCCCTTCTCCAGGCAGGAAAAGAAGGCCTGGCTTCTCATAGACATCTCCGAAAGATCTAGTACAGTGACAGATGGCAGACTGATGTGAATTGTTCCCTGATGGCAACTGCTGTGTGAGATTTGCTCTCCAACTAGACAGTCAAGTGATCAGCACAGGAACTGTGGCTATTTCTCTTGTTCCTTCCCTCAGTTCCTAAAACAGCATGGAACATATAGTAACTATTTAATAAAATTTTTTGTTGGAAGACAGTTC